AATTCTGAGAACTAGTCTGTTGAATAATGGACATAAAATGCATGCTGATATTCAAAACTATTTTACAAATTTATTTTTCAGTTTTTTATATGTCCAAATTATCCCATCCCCAATCATGTTTCAGATTTAGAATTCTTCACAATCCTCTTAAGAGTTCATTAATAAAATTGTTCATTGAATACAACTAAATCCTGAGTTTAATGTTGTGTAGAGTTCATTGACAAAATCTTTGAACAATCCAAATTGAAGAGCAGCTGAAATCCTAATCTGAATAGCAATGTAGAGTGGGACAGGAACAGAATGTGATATATTTCTCCCCAGACTATCTCTGTAAGAGAATGTTTTCTACATTTTATCTGACCATTATTTTCATCCATATAATTAAGGTATTGGCCATTAATGGCTTCCAAGATGGAGTATAAATTGAAATGATAAAGACATAATCCATGATTGATAGCTCTGGCTTCTAATTGTAATGTTTTTGCCAGCATTTTTCAGTTGGTGCCTTGGGAGAAGGAAGCTGAAGTAATATATCAGAGGATGTTCTAATTCAGAGTTGATAGTATTTGTGGCACTAAAATGAACATGCCCTTTTGCTCTGTACGTCCCACATCCATTGTATATTCTGTAATACCACACTTTCCAATAACTTAGTGCAAGTTGGGCAACACAAAAACTACCACCACAAAGAAATTTCCACTAATAACTCATTTGCAATTTTTCTGCTTTTTTTTTTTTTAAATGCCAGTTTCTTGCCTGGAGGAATCACTGATATTTTGGGGAACTGCAGAATTGAGAGAAAGGGAGAGATAAGAGTCAGCTAAGATTAACAGCTAAGATATATTAGAATATTAGAGAAAGAATTACCCAATCTAGTATGTGGATCCAAAGACAGTAAGATACTTATTATTGAATTTATATTTCATATTTCTAAACCACCCGTCTCCCTCATAGAGGGGTTCTGGGCAGTGTATAATGTAATATCAATAAATAAGACAATACATTAAAATTAAATCAGCATTTAAAAATTAAAATTATAGAGTAATAACAAACATCAAAAGAGAAAAAATAAATCCTAAAATGGCCATTTAACATTGGTTATTATAAAACGGAGAGGGCTCTTGTGGGATTAGCAAGCTACACATTTGCATGGTCCTCTGTGCCTCCCACACAAGGCTGCAGAACCAAGATTTAACACCTTTGTGGAATGCCAAGAGATTGAGGGATTTCCTCACCTCTGGGAGAAGGATGGTCCACAACGTAGAGGCAGCAGCAGAGAAGATTCTCTTCCTAGACCCTGCCAATTCTTTGACTGAAGGGGTCTGCAACATACCTTCCCTGCCTGATTGAGTGAGACTGGCTGATGAGATGAAAAAAAGCCAGTTCTGTAAGTTACCTGACCCCATGCCATGTAGGGCTTTATAGGTGATACCCTTGAATTGGACCCAGAAGCAAACTGGTACCCAGTGCAGTTTGTGGAGCAAGGTTATTTTATATGTCTTTGGGCACCCAGTGTGGTCTGCAGAGCCAGAGTTTGCACCAACTGAAAGTTGCAGTAACCCCATGTAGAGCGCATTGACAGTCAATCGGAAGATGACCAGTGCGTGAGTGACTGATATTAGAGCCTCCCTGTCCAGGAAAGAGTGTAGTTGGTGCACAACACAGGAGTTAGGCAAAATCTGTCCTGGCCATGGCTGCCACTTGCTCATTGAGCAGGAGCTATGAGTTCAAGAGGATCCCCCAAGTTATGCACCAGGTCTCTCTGCTGTAGTGCAACCTCATCCAAGACCAAAGATGATAAACCCCTGGATACAGAAGGCTCACCCACAGCTGCTCTATCTTACTGGGGTTCAGCTGAAATCTGTTGTTCCCCATCCATATGGGATATAAAGAATGTAAAGTTAAAAAATCACTATTAAAAAAAGGTAAATGTTTCTCCTGTCCAGTTGTGTTTGACTCTAGGGAGTGATACTCTTTTCTGTTTCCTAGCCAAGGGAGCCAGCATTGTCCGAAGACGCTTCATGTAGTCATGTAGCTGGCATGACTATACACCAAAAGTGCATGGAACACTGTTACCTTCCCACTAAAGTGGTACCTATTTAAAAATACTGGAAGTTTTTAAGAAGAGACTGGACAGCCATTTGTCCGAAATGGTGTAGGGCAGTGCTTCTCAACGTTTGTGTGACGGCAACCCCCGTCACACAAACGTTCTGCGCATGCGTGGCGACACGTGCATGGGGCGGGGCCCCATGCGCGGTGCGTGTGCGTGACGTCCCATGCGTGACACGCATGCGCAACACGCATGCGCGACGCCCCCATGCACGGTGCGAGTGCACAGCGCGCCCCCATGCGCGCCCATGTGCGGTGGCCCCCATGCGTGACGCGCATGCGCAGCGCGCCCCCCATGCGCAGCACACATGCACGGCACCGCCCCCATGCATGGCACGCGTGCATGGCGCCGCGAAAAATGGCGGATCGCCGCCTTTGGCGACCCCCCAAAAATGGGCGATCGACCCCAAATGGGGTCGCGACCCATAGGTTGAGAACCGCTGGTGTAGGGTTTCCTGCTGAGCAGGGGGTTGGACTAGATGACCTCCAAGGTCCCTTCCAACTTTACTACTATTACTATTACTATCTATTTGCATTTGTATGCTTTTGAACTGCTAGGTTGGCAGGAGATCCAGGTGAAATTCGGTATATCCGAGGCAAATGGCACAGTCGTGGGGCTTGAAAGGCTGATTAAAAGAACGATCCAGGATCTGGCCTCCAAGATTCGTCATGTTTATCATTATTCTGATTTCCAAGATCATTTTTTCTGGTGTCAATTCCTCAAGACAGGCAGAAAGCAGACTCCACAAGAAATACTGGAATGCTGCTTTCTTGTTATAGGCTACAGTAACAGAATCTCAAAATCTTGGCAACAATATTTTTCTTTCTGTCCATCTTATAGCAAAGAGTCAAGGTGGGTCACATTAATTTTTATTTCTGATATCTTCTTTGTTTCCTGATTTAATTCTTGTTTTGCTAACTGTAATTGTATTCTTTCACCAAGTTATCCCAGTGCTTCTCTGCATCCTGAGAGTTTGACCTTGTCTTTTAAAACTCTTCCACTATTCAAAGGCCTGTCCCTCTATTTGGTTGTGGTGGTACTCCGTGGAGCTCAGATATTCTAAGTCAGAGATTAAAATTCTCAAGAGGTCTGAAGATGTTGCAGAGATTAGTGCTGGTTCAGCTGCTACTTTGCTTTTATTGAGTCTCAACAGGAAATTCTATAACAACATCCCAATTTGCTCTCATCTCATTTTTAAGGGAAGGCATACATGAAACTCTGCAATACATAAATTACATTGGGGAAGGGAAAAAGAAAAGACTATTAATCTACCTATTAAAATTGGTATAATTATTAATCTACCAATCAGAAAAGAATATTTTGTTTGCTTTAGCAAACTAGGTTAATCTCATAAATCTCTTAGGGAAAGTGACTGACATTTCTATAAGAGTTGCCTGGGAAAAAAAGCAAACATCTTTAAAAGAGCAACATTTGTAGCACTTCCTCCCTTCAAACTATTAACTTAAATCCTTGATCCTCTTAGCATGTCAAGAATGCCCATAAATTTCAGAAAATACTGCCACTTTTTTAAAAAAATTAAAGGTCACAATATAAAGGCCACTGATTCAAAAAGATGTTATACTTTATTGACATTTCACAAGCTTCTGCATAAGGAATGCAATAACACTGCACATTCCATCCAATTTTGTCAGAAACAGTGAGTACGCAGGTTGATTTGCAATGAAAGCAAGCAAGAGGCCCAAAGCTCTGTATTTTGAATCCAAATTTGGATTAGACTGTTGAGCACTTTCCAAACTAAATTGGATTATTTTCTGAATTACCAGGTAACATTCAGACAAATTTATTGATCCATACATTTCATTGTTAACTAGATAAACCTAAAAAAATTCTAAATAGACTATTCAACATATGTATTTCAGTATTTTTTTTATTTCCCAAAGCATAAATATGTGCCTCTGAAAAGAAGTACATGTATTTTTATATTGCTTTCCTGATGATCAAGAGTACTCAAAAGAACAGTGTTGGTCTATAGAGGCAAAACAACAATAACCACAACAACCAAGAATATGGTAGCCTTTTTTCTGACATTTTCTGTATATGCCTTTTAACTGATTACTCAAAACAGTTGCTAGAAGAGTTATTTGGATAATTAATTTGATAATTAGGGAATATAACAAATAAAACATACTGTAATAGTTGTTAAAGATGGCCAAGTACTTTGATATATATGAGGAATACCCCAAACTATATTGGATATGATACATTTAAATTTCCATTTTGGGAAAGAGCATTGTTTTATTTATTTTATGTATTTTATATGCTGCCCATTTCAGTATTGGAATGACTCTGGGCACCTTAAAATACAATAAAAGCAACAATATAAAAACATTAAAAATGTTTTAAAAAATAACATAGCTTTGTTTAAAAAGAGCACAAAATCATAGTAAAAACATTTTTTTAAAAAAAAAAAAAAAGATAAACTTTAGGGGAATGTGCCATAATTGACAAGATTTTAGCTGGCTGTTGGGAGAAAGGGAAGAAGACTAAAACTGACAGTACCAGTTAATGAGTTATCAGAAATTCTATTCATTGTTTTGTGTACTGTTTTCGCTACTTGAAGAATTCTTATGACCTTTCAGTAGGCATTAGAGCAATGGTTCTCAACCTGTGGGTCGGGACCCCATTTGGGATCGAATGACCATTTCACGGGGGTCACCAAACCATGCTGTCCGCCATTTTTTCCCTTTTCCCTAGCTGTCCTACTCCCTCTTATTGGTGGCCACACCCACTTGGGGGTCACCACAACATGGGGAACTGTATTATGGGGTCACGGCATTAGAAAGGTTGAGAATCACTGCATTAGAGGTTTAAATTACTTCTCTACAATTAATCAGCTATTCTGCACTTTTGACTTACAAAATTCTGTGGGTTTTTTTTTTTTTTTTTTTTTGGTAAATCTAAGCATTCTGGTTCCAACAAATCTTGTGCTTTCATACCATTATACATACATCCAAATAATTTTAAGTATACTTTAAGTAAGTATAAAATAAAAGTAAGTATATAGATACAGTAGCTTTCTCATGAGAACAATGAGAATTTTTCTCTAACTTGGTTTAAAGTAAAATAAAAACAATTGGATGATATAGTCATGAACTCATTGCCAGAATCTAAAATACTGTTTTCTGACATTTGTCAAGATTTGATAATTGTTTTAAAAAAATAATCTCAACACTCACAGTGCTACTCTGTTAAAAGTATGCTGTCATTTAGTGAGACATTAAAAATTGTATTTGTAATTGAAAAATTAAGCAAATTCTCAATATTTTCTACATATTCTCAAAATGTTAATAAATTAATAAAAGGTATATTACTTTTAGCATTAGTATAGTTTTAGTATAATGTTTTCAGTGCTCAATTCATATAAAATTCATATTAATATAATTAATAATTATAATGGGTGAGAAATTAATTTATTTTGATAGGAAATGAGAATCTAATAAAAGGGTTCCTTTGGAAACATTTTTATATAGTTTGTGTTGTTTCTTTCACCACAATGTCTGATAAATGAATGTAAAAATCTATGGTCATTAGTTGTTTTCCTCCAGTTGCAAATAATTTTTAATAGTCCAGCTGGTGAGAACATTTTGCAAGAGCAGTGATTTATAGTTAATTAACTTAATTAGCATTTGATGCAATCACCTTTTCCAGATCATGAACTGCAACTATTTCAGGATTATCTGGTTGTTTTTTTTTTAATTGAAAAAGGGAAACAAAAATAGATCAGAAATGATTTCAAGTGTGGCTAGAAATGCAGTCTCTTTTTAAGAAGTGATCTTGTTTTACTTAATTTAGTAATTAAAATAACATAAAAATAGTTATCTATATTTCTCCAAAAGATTTATAATAGCCTATGCTGTCCTTCCTTTAGTCTAAAACAGGGGTCCCTAACCGCCGATCCATGGATCGGTAAAGGTCCATGGCCCAATGGGAAATGGGCCATGCAAGCGGCAAGTGAACGTGACAGCTCCATTTGCACATTGTGAGATTAGGTTGCATGATCAAAACCAACCCCTTCCTTCTGCTGCCACTGCCTACTGCCACCGCCAGTCTGCAGAGCCAGAAAGATTGGGGAACGCTGGTCTAAAGTATCTTAGATTAAAACTGAATTCAGATTATGACAAACATTTTTTCCAAAATCATGATGTATTGAGAAACTGTCAAATAGGGTAAAATGTGTAATATCATGGTTTACAAAGTCCTGTGGCAAATCAAACAAACCATATTACAAATCAACACAGTGTACTCTAGTTAATGAAGGTTAGTAGTTGATTTACAGGTTGAATTGAAGAGTCCCTGTTGAATATTGTAACTCAGCCATGTCCAAATTAGTTCTTCCAGTATGTTGAAGAATCATTTTTTGTTATCCTTGGCCAGTATTGGTAGTTCTGATTGAATACATCTGGGGAAAAGAAAAATGTGAGAATTTACATTATGCATTATGGTACTATAAGATATATAATTATTTATGAGACTTATATATATCCTTTCTCAGTTGTACTTCAGATTGCTTTACAAATTCAATTCCTTGAGAAATCACATCTGTCCTAAAACACTTTCTTAGTTTTCAAGAATAAATTGTGCTCCCAGCACGAAGTGAGAAAATGAAAGTGAAGCTTTTGAGATTCAGACTCTTTTCCCTCATGTGAAAACCCTTATATAATTATTCTCTGCCAACTTGTAACTTGTTTCAGAGTTCATATTCAGCTGTTTAATTCCTTTCAGTATCTGAAATACATATGGTATATGATGTATCCTTTAGAATACTTAGATTCCCTTTTATGCTCAGAATACAGTATATTGCTTCTCTTTTTCACATTTTTCAGAAATTTTACGCAGGTGAAACAAATCCCTTTCAGTCATTGTTAATGCATCTGAACTTTAGCACTCATTTGCTATATATATCATTCTGACATTTTTTAAGTAACTACAAGGTGGAAAATTATCTTATTTGGTCCAAAAAAGTATTAAACTATTTAAATCTTTTTTCAAAGATCAGCCTTCTCAGTGAATTGTTCTTTTTTTTTTCTTTTCATAAAATGGAAATGAGTAAAACTCAGGCTGGGAGGGAATGAAGTCTAGAAAGTTGTAGATTCTAATATCTTACCCTAGCTAGGTTATTTATAATAACACTAGACTTGAGTGGCATATTTTTTTCTTTTTCTTATTTTTTTAAAGAATAGAATCAGTCATTCAGGAAGCAAATCTATTCCACCTTAAAAAAATCCCAAAGATTTGAATCCAAAATCAGCATTTGGTCATTTTGACAGTGAATATTACTGGTAGTCTTTTGGGCTGCATTTTGACAGTGGGCAAATTAAGTGGGAAAATAAAAGTGGTTTATTCATTTCCTCCCCTTTAACAGCAATAAATAAATGGCCTTGCTCCTTCCAGCAATGCCATCTCATCCTTTATGCTCCTTCCAGCAATGCTATCTCATCGTTTATGGGTTTTTGGAAGATCAGGAAATACATTACAATTGTCAGCCCTTCAGACATTGTCCACTCTTGTTGTATGATTAACATAGGGAATATTGGCTGTATTTAAAGCATAAGCAGAAAGCACACACCAATTTTAAGTATGTGTGGAAAGATTCCAAAGCTCACCTGTTTTTGTCATGTCACAATGTGGTTTTCAGGTCCAATTGCCTTGTTCCCAAGCCTATTAATTACTTGTGATGGATAAAGCTGCACAGAAATGAAAATTTAAAATAATAATGAAATACTTGGTTTGCTAGCCAGCATTCTGTAAAAGTGACATTTTTGATAGGGATAATGGTTACCATATATATGGGCTAATAGACAATCACCAGGTGATGTGAAGAGTTAGCATTTTCAGTATTTTTTTCCTAGCATATAGAATTGTCCCTAGGTTTTTCTGGCACTAATCAAATAGGTGTGGGCAATTTTTATCCTCTTTCTTTTATTTCTTTTCTGTCTCTCTTTGGCTCCTGTCTAGAAAAATAAGCATTCTAAATAGTATGCCTAAACTGTAACTGGAATTTGAAAATATAGTAATGTCAAAAATGAAACTTTGGCAGCTACGTGTCTCTTCATTTCAATGCCATTAGAGCAGTGGTTCTCAACCTGTGGGTCGGGACCCCATTTGGGGTCGAACGACCATTTCATAGGGGTCGCCAAACCATGCTGTCCACCATTTTGTTCCCTTTTCCCTAGCTGTCCTACTCCCTCTTATTGGTGGCCACACCCACATGGGGCTCACCACAACATGGGGAACTGTATTATGGGGTCACGGCATTAGAAAGGTTGAGAACCACTGCATTAGAGTAAGGCGGGGAGGTGTTGCTTTAGAATGGGTTAGATGGAGAAATGAAACCTCTACGGTTTCACTGAAAACCTTCAGAACCTGAAACTTTTCCAAGGACACTGCAGAAGGTGTGGAGAGGAAGCAGATGGTTCCCATAACAAAGTGAAATTGTTTACATGGACTACGTGAGAGGATGGGGGTTTGGTCGGAGAAATTATAGTTTAATTCTGGTGTCTGGGAACCTCAGAATTAGTTTTGCTTTGACATTACCATGCCATTAGCATTACCATTACTGTGTATTCAGTAAACAGAATGAACTTGGAGTTTTATTTGGATTCTCAAGCTGGCTGTCCTGTAAGTCTAAAGCACCCTTTACTTGGAAGCTCACAAAAGCCACAATGACAGAAAAGTAATATTATAAAAGCAATTAAAGGTACATTAAAGGAACATTGTGTTTAAAGTGAATGGTCTGAGCAATATTTCATCTACCTTCAGAGCACATTGGTGATCGCCTGGTGATTGCCCCTGATATTCTTCCAGTACACTATGTAGTTTTTGTTTTCCTATGTGAATATTCACACAAAATGCATCATAATGGCAGTGCTTGGTCTCTGTTTTTTAAAAGTACTAAAGAGATCTGACTAAACAGATTAGTTCTGGTTATTTATTTTTTAAAGCTACTTTACAGTTTTACAATTAAAGGCATAAAATACAGTATTTTGTTGGAATTATATTGGCTGGTGCAGAAAATTCCAGTAGATGTCACCATTTACCATATTTAATAAATACAGACTGTCACCTTTGAGGAAAGAAAATCATCAGCAAGAAGAAGAAAGCTCTATAAAACTCTGTTGTTATTTTTACTGACAATCAGGAATCATCAGTGTCAACATCAGCATGAGTATCTTGCTTATTCCTTGTTTATTTGCATTTTGCTTTGCTCTTTTTTCTTCTTTTCCTTTTCACAACTCATTTTAAATATTCTTGACTGTAGTCCAGACCTCTTTTTTGCCTCTGCTCTGCAACACCACACCAACTTTGACAGGCCATCCAGTTTTCTAGAGAAGAATGGAAGCTTGGAAGTTGGCAGGGTTAACTCTGACTTTTCTACTGATAATTGATCTATTGATCCTGACATGAATTGGAATTTCACCTTAGTGCTAGTAGAATATGACATGTTCTTTAGGAAGGGTTATTTTAAAGAACAAACATTCATTTTCCAAATAGATCTATAATTAACCCTGTAAGATGTCAAGCTTTGACAACTTCCTGAACTGAAAATGATCCCCCCCCCAAGTATGATGCTACAAACCTGCCTTTGGCAAGATTTATTAAGATGAAAGAGAACAGAAATTCCAGCAAGTGAACTACTTTTCAATTAAGAACCAATCAATCTCAATATATGTTAGCAATGAGACTTTCTTAGTCTTTTTTATGATGTCCTTACAATTTGCCAAAAGAGAGTCAGTTGTCGTCATTGATGACGGTAAAGTCTAATTGTTTATGGTTTTTGAATATTTGTAAGGTTGAGAATCTACAGATGCTGCTGTCTTATAAGGTTCCCAGGCAATTTTTCTTTCATGACCAGCATTTTCTCCAACCATCCATCCCACTCAGATTATTTCTGAAGCCCTTCTCCATTCAGATTTATTTAGCTACATGTTGATGTTGTTTATTGTTTGAAAACCAGATGCTATTTTATTATTATTTATTGAAATTTCTTTTTCAACATTTTTTCTGGACACTTCTGGATAATGAATATTACTCTACTATATCTTATTAGTCATTCTGCAAGATAGCTTAGACTGAGAGATAAATTATTAACCTGCCTGCTGAAAATATTAGTCTTTCAGTTGCATATGTTCCTATAACATCACAACCACATCTAGGCACAAAAGCAAAGAAAAGGTTTCATGCCAAAATGTTTCCACTCTTGTCTTGCTCAAATACCGAATACCAAAAAAGAAATGACTTCAGAATCTCTCCTCTGTTAAGCTGTAAAATTTTACGTCTTAGAGCTGCCAGTTTAATCCATAAAGAACCAGAGTTTTTAACTATGTAAAGGTAAAAGGAGACCCCACAGATTTTATTCTGCTAATTGTTACTGACTGTAGGGGGCAGTGCTCATCTCCATTTCAAGGCCATTGAACGAATGTTGTCTGAAGACATTTCCACAGTCATGTGGCCAGCATGACATCACGGAGTGCTGTTACCTTGCTTTCAAACTGCTAGGTTGGCAGGAGCTTGAGCGAGGAGGAAGGACAAACACACCACATGGCGCTCAGGTCTTGAACCTCGGCTGTTGGCTTTCCAGCTGACAAGCCCAGTTTCTTAACCACTGAGTCACCATGCTGCCCTTAACTATGTGCTCTTGTTTAAACCCTTTCTTTGCTAATAATATAGTCCTATCAAGGTGCTATTCTGTTGTTGTTTTGATGTTTATATAATTGTCAAATTTTGTCCAGAGAAACCGTGATATTAATGACTGATGCTATTCTGTTCTTAATTTTTTCATGCCTTTGCCACTTGAAAAAAAAACCCATTGTGAAAGAGATAAGTCTGCCTTTAGCCTAGCTCCACAATTAAGGCACTCATCACAGTATTTGTCAGGTGCAATATTGTCAGGTGAAGCTTGCAGGTCTTTTGCATTTTTCATTATCAGCATTATGCAGGTTATTGATGTTTCTTCCTTCAGTTTTACAGTGCTGCTCATCTTCTTCCATCTTCTACAGTTTTCCTTACTATAGGTTGAATAAATAAGGAGAAAGTATACAGCATTGTTTCATTCTTTTGCCAATCTGAAGTCAGTCGGTTTCACCATATTCTGTCTGTATTGTGCCTTCCTGACTAGTATATAGGTTAGTATGAAAATAGAGATGTTCTGGTATTCCCATTTTTCTAAAGACATTTCACAGCTTGACACAATCAATAAAACCAAAAGTTTTTTTTATATTCAATGAAGCACATACTGGTATTCTTTCACTTTCTCAATATTTTGTAGTAATCTTATTTTTTGGGGGGGGTATTGGATTGAAGATTTACTTCTCTCCATTGGCATATGTTATTTTCCAAATTTGGTGACATAACTTGATTCTTCTGTTGCTTCCTTCCTGAGATTTTTATCTTTCTTGGCTTTGGCTTCTTTTCTTGGCAATTTTCACTGTTTATTCATTCTTCTGTTTTTCCATCTTTGGCATCTCTCTTCAGATTCATCCTTAATAATTTTAAATTCATTCCACAGTTCCTTTTCTTCTCCTCTATCAATAAGGTTCAAGATTTCAAAGCAATTCCTGATGTTAGTGGATAAATATACAGTATTAATTAATGGAAACTGATTAGCTTTTCTCTTCTTTAACTTAACCTGGAACTTGCACATGAGCAGTTCATGATCTGTTCCCAAGTCAGTTGACAGACAGACAGACAGACAGACAGACAGACAGACAGACAGATAGATATAGATAGATAGATGATAGATAGATAGATATAAATGGATGAATAGATAGATAGATAATAGAGGAGGAATGCAGAAAAAGAAAATCATCTGTCACTAATGGCCAAATTAACCATCTAACCCAGTGATGGCGAAACTTTTAGAGACCGAGTGCCCAAACTGCAACCCAGACCCCACTTATTTATCATTGAATGCTGGGGTTGGTGTGGCCCACTGGGTGGGTGTGGCCATTGGATGGGCATGGCTGCAGTGGGTGTGGCCACATTGATGTTGCTTGTGGGGAAGAGATGCCTGTGGGGGCTAGGTAGGGTTGGGGAGATCCAGGGGGTCTCTGGCAAGTGGGATGATGGGCAAGAGGTGGGAGAAGGGTGCTCTGTGAGGGTTGGGTGGGGGCAGCGAGAGAACAGCATTCTGCAAGGATTGGGTCAGGGTGGGAGAGAACAGCGCTCTACAAGGGTTAGATCAGGGCAGCAAGAGAACGGCACTCTGTGAGGGTTGGGTGGGAGTGGTAGAATGGTGCTCTGCGAGGGTTGGGTGGGGGTGGCGAGAGAATGGCGCTCTGAGGGTTAGGTCAGGACAGCAAGAGCAGGGCACTCTGCAAGGGTTGGGACCAGGTGGGAGAGAACAGCGCTCTGGGAGAGTTGGATTGGGGTGGTGGGAAAATGGTGCTCTGCGAGGGTTGGGTCAGGGCAGCGAGAGAACGATGCTCTGCGAGGGTTTGGTAGGGATGGTGAGAGAACGGTGCTCTGCGAGGGTTGGGGCAGGGTGGCGAGAGCAGGCGCTCTGCAAGAGTTGGGGTGGAGCAGTGAGAATGGCACTCTGCGAGGGTTGGGTGGGGGTGGCGAGAAAATGGCACTCTGCAAGGGTTGGGTGGGGGTAGCGAGAGAATGGCGCTTTGCGAGGGTTGGGTCAGGGCAGCGAGAGCAGGGTGCTCTGCAAGGGTTGGATGTGGACGTTGAGAGAACAACG